GCATTTTCTTTAAATCTAAATCTTCGAATAAAATAAAATCGGATCCGGATCCGCAAAAATATGCAGATTTCACGTTTTTAAATTGATTTCCATCTTTCATCATGTAATATTTACGAGATTTATTAGATTTCATCTTCCACCCTTTCCCACTCTTTGTTAGATGGATCTGCAATTGGTTTTAGTTATTTAACCCGACCTTGACTTCACAAATCCTAATCCTCTGAAATTTACGTAATTGTGCAATGTGCATACTGTTAAATGCAAACGGTATTTTCTAACTTATGTTCGAATTTTCATGGTTTTCCACAATTTGCCTGGTTTAGGATGGTGCAGTTTATTTAAGTGTAATATTTCTCGAAAAATTATTTTTTTAAATAATTTTCAGGGCCGGGGTTCGTTCACTGAAATGGGAAGATAGGAGAACCATTTTGGTTCTAAAGTTTTAAAAGAATGAAAAATCTTGCCGTTTGAATTTTGTGGTCCAATTTTTCATTTTCCCCCCTAAATCATCAAAAATGATTTTTTCTGTAATTTTGAAAAATTAACAACCCTGAGGTATAAATCATGATGGAAAATTATTTTATAAGTAAAGGAATTGAGTCTTTGTCACAAACTACGATGTTCTAAACATTATATCTTTGCAACTCATCTCACATAATCACGCACATTAGACTCAAGATATTCCGGATTATTAATTCTATTAGATCAAATAATCTACGTTTGAAATATCAAAGGTTTACACTGTCAAGTTGCAAAGATATAGTCTTAAGAAATTTTAATGTGGCAAAAACTCAATTACTTAATTTCTATCTTAATTTTTTTCAGTTTAAAGTTTATAAGGGAACTGATGTAAATCTGACATATAACTAATTAATTGAAAGATCACATTAAATTTACATCAATATTCTCTTGGAGAATTGAGCTCAGAAAAAAATAGAAACTTTGAGTTGGATGGGAGGGACGGGTAATGTTACATCGTCTATACGCAACATCCCCCCTACTGAACTTCTGTACTGCAATATCGGACCTACGCCAGCTGTTTATTTTTGTATTATTTGAGGGTTAGGTTAGGTTAAGACTATGGACCGAGCGCCGCGGCTAGGACAGGCTAGGGGGCCGGGCGCTGCGGCCACAAGTCCATATAGCAGCTGCAAAACCACGTGCTAGTAGGTCGGATGTGTAGTATAGCGGATTAGGCGTAGGTCAGAAGAAGAGTATAGCGGATTTGCGTAGGTCCAAAAATATACCACCGAGGGACGGAATGAATCGTTTAAACAAAAGGCTTATTGAAATTTGATCCACCTTTTGTTTTTATTAAATTAAATAGAATACAGTTTACTGTAGGAGTTACCAATAAACCCGCGGCTTAACCTTTAGCTTCTTAGTAACAAAATCAATATAGTTACTTTACAGAAACTCGTAATAAGATAAAATGTCCTTAATTTTTTTTGTAAAATTAATCCCAACTCTGAAAAACTGCCAGAGAAGAAGAAATCTCTTTAATAAAGTTACAATTAGTAATAACGAAATTACATGATGAAAAACTGTAAATATTGACTTTTTTCTACGGGTTAAATTATTTTAACATCCTGAAGTTTTCCCCAAACCTGTAAAATACTCAAAATTATCAATATTTTGACCGAAATATGAAGATCCTCTCTGACCTAATTTTTTATATCTAAAAAAGTTAACCTACTAACCTTAAATCTCAAATTAATTTTTTTTATTTAGGCCGCGCTAATATGTCAATGAAATATTTTTAAAAACCTTCGCTTCAACTCCGGTCAAAACTATTTACCTAACTTTTTCATAAAACTTATTTTTTTTATGGATATCTTGTAACAACTGTACTGCAAATTGTTTACATTTTCTCTGCACAAATGACACATGCAGTACACTTATTTTGTTAACATATCTTTAAAGTTTCATAGTGTACACTCTACTGTACTGTACTGTACTGTACAATTTATTGGTTAAAGAGTGGTGAGAGATGTCCTCCTTTTAAATCATTTAGACTTTGTCTTTGACATTTGTCCTCTAAATCTTCCCTGTATCCTCCTATTAATGTCAATATCCCCCCCCCTCCCCCTCAATCCATCTCATGAATTTCCATCTTAATTAATCTCCATTTAAAAATCTGCAATACTGAGTCAGAGTAGAAAATACATGAATGGTTATGTCAAAGAATAAACGACAAATAAAAGAGTTTTCTAAAATAATTGAAAATTGTGTCAGCTGTTGTCATCCTTGATAGATTTGTCTCCAGTGTTGGTCGGATTTACTCCTGTCTTTAATCACGTGATATTGGTTTTAACATTGACCTAATTTTAGGATTTAAACCTTGAAATTTATAAATAAATGTTTGCGCTTGGAACATGCAATGATTTCTTTTCTTTTATAATGCCAAGAAGTTTGTAACTTAGTTCGCTGCTGTTCTTGTTATACTATTCTATACTATACTATTCTATGTTATACTTTTTGAAGTCCTTATCTCTCCTGATTTCTTTCTGCTCTTCCTATTCTACCTGTATTCTCTGTACTCCTTGTACTCTCTTTACTTTAAAGTTTTTGTAGTATTTCTTATTACATGTGGTCTTCCTGTTCTCTCATCTTATCTTGCTGTTATTCATTCTCTCTCTGCTCTTCCTGTTCTTTACCTGTTCTGTACTTTTTTTCTACTTAGTCATACCGTTTTTCTCTTAAGATCCTGTTCTTCCTATTTCCCCTGTATTTCCTGTACACCATGCTCTTACATCTCTTTCTGTTCTTCCTTCTCGTCATGTTCTTCCTTTTGATGGTTATGTTCCTGTTCTTCCTGTTTTTCTTCCATTACTAAGAATTTGCTAGAATTATGTGTCACCTTCAGTTATCAAGTAATGTAGACTTATCGTATAATAGGACGGGAGTATATACAAATTATTTATATTCAAGTTCTGACTCCACTCTCAATAAGAAAAGAAACAACATTTTTTATTTATTTTATTATTTTCAGTAATGTTTGTAAGATGAACTGTTCTAGATATAGCTTTGACTCCTTTATTAATTTTATGAATTATTTGATTTATGAGTTCCAATTCGAGGTTGTTTTTTTTCTTTTCCAACTTATTAAACTTATCAAGGACATGGCCCTGAACATTGAAGGTTAATCAAATTGCTAAGTTGATGATCAATATTTTTGGTTGGTTTAAACCAAACTAATAGAATATGCCGCAGTTTAGGAAATCATTAAGGAAAGTTACTTTCACACAACGGCAGTGCTTAGGATCCGGATCCGTTGGGTTAGCAAGATTTGGGCTTCCTGGATCCGGATCCGCAAAAATATGGGGATCTACGGATCCGGATCCAAGGAGCAAAATATCAACCAAAAACTCTAAAGAAAAAATTTTTACTCTCAACCCAAATTTGAACTATTGAAAAAGAGAGATTATAAAAATTTACTGATTTCTGAATGGTTCAACAAGCCTTAGCATAAAAAGGAGAGAAAAAAATAAGGCAACAAATTTTAAAATTCTGCTTTGTTAAATAAATTCAGTAAATTTTAAAGAAAAAACCTGGATCCATTTTGTTCCAGTGCGGATCCGGATCCTCCGCATCAAAGTTAAATGTATCCTAAGCACTGCATATAGGTCTAAAAATCAAAAAACATAATTAGGGCTTATTATATATTTATAAGTATGAAAAAGCTAGAATTTTTTGCCATCATCCACCCTCCCCGTCATACACGGTGAATTTTTGAATGAACTGATAAGAATTGCAGTTCCTCGTATACTTTTAGACAAGTATATGTAAACATTTTTATTGTGTTTTGTTTCTAATTTTTTATAATTTATATGATATGTTCAGAAGAAAATTAATAAAAGAGTGTGGGGGGGTAATATTTCTCGAAAAATTATT